AAAAAGAGTCTTATTATGTAATACTATGTTTTTTTGCTAAACATCTGTTTCAGTTTGATTTTGTCTCAAATGTGATGTGTGCATTGCTGGGGATTTTTGTGCACGTGCATTCACACTCAAACATCAGCTGACGTTCTGCATAAATCATGTGTTTGATTATTCCCGCCATTTAAACTTCGTACACTTCCTGATCCAAGTGAAAGTGTTGAGCTGTTCCTCTCCGTCTCAAACAAACCTGCAGCACGGCCAACACTGTGATTAATAAAGTGTCACATTGTGATGTCACTGCTGTAGCAATGGCCTTTACGTTCTCTAATGCACAGAACGAGGACACAAACGCCTCAGAGGCAGATTTATTACAAAGGATCTACGTCAACGTTCTCCTGACGGCACTTCGCACGCACAACTGTGGAAACAACAAAGCCCTGTTTAACCACCTGAGGTCAGGCTGTGAAGCTGGAGACTAGCAGCCACTAACGTGCCACCCAAATGTAAATAAATGACTCCACCGAGCGTCACTCGAGCGACGTGGTTACTGAAGTGTTTTGCCGAGAATTTGATTCAAATGGTGGAAACCAGAGACTTTACACAGCTGGTTAGAAAACAGCAACCCAGGTAGAATCGAGCAGTCGTTTCTACCTGGATCACTGGGACGATCACTTTGAAGTCTCTGTGCTGGTTTCCATCTTTGCCCTGTGCCTAAACACTAAGACAAAGATCACATGTGTGTCCTCATTAGGACAGAGTCGTGTTGGTGTCACTTGGGACCAAAGCTCTGTGTAGCACCAACAGATTACAACACACATCAGGCACTTCAGGGGGACACTAGAGGCCTCTGCTGGCATATCCATGTAACGAGGGCTGGCCAAATGACCGTCTGTGTGACCTCGTCTCCTCTGCTGGTTTTAGTCTCTTCCCACCTGCACCTCTTTTTCTACTGACTCAGGGCTCTAGAGTGCGACCAAATTTCTCAAACAAAAAACCCCAGGTCACACAGGTGAGACCAGCCGGTCCCCACAACCCTGAAAGTCTCCATGTGGTCAACAACAGACACACATTGGCTGAATCCCAATTCA